AAGCCCACTGCAAAACACACAGTGGGCGTGTTACAGAGGACACAGATAAGATCTTTCTTTCATGCTCTTTCACAAAGTATTACCATTAAGCCAACAGCAAAGTCAAAACCATCCCAAAGAGCACTTCAACAAGGTTCAATTACATGTCAAAGAGAATCAGAGTTGCACAGGCACTGTAGACACTATTGCAATACTGTAGCTTATTGATAGCTGTAATGTCATTACTGAATTTAGGATGGGTAATGCCTTACAGACAAAACATGATGTGATTACAGTAATGTGTTACCCCACAACTGGCAAATGTTTAGAACTGCCGAGAAGGTTGTTCCAAGCAGCACAACGTTGTGTATTCAGTTGTGTGGTGATCCCAACCTCAGGACTTGTAAACGGTACCAAGGTATGACATTGCTGATGCTCGAGTGGGTCTAAAAAAAACCCAACTCATTACTAATATTAAGGCAACACTTATTATTTCTTCACACTCTGCTCTACAGAGTCCATATCACAGCATTTTAGGCATTTAAGAAAGTTGCTTCATTCACTGTACAGCACTCAACATTTAGAACATGTGCATCACCACTGTGCCTGAATTTTGTATTTTCCACCATAAATTGATGCAGAAAAGGAACAACTGGTGCATATAAATTCACCAGAATGCAGGAAATTTCCAGGGGGAGGATGGCTGGACCCCTGCTAAACATGTCCCCTCCAAAATGTTGAAATGAAATCTGCGCCTATTGGTGTAGGGATGTTTTGGAATTGAACTTATTCATAAAGAATAGTGAACAGAGAATCATTAATATTCATTAATTTAGACATAACTGCTGTTGTGCAAGTTTAATGTCATAAATTAGCTTGTTGAGAAGAAAGGTCAACTGACTCAAGCTTTGAAACATCCCACTGCTGGACTTTCTGGTGGAACCGAGAGCCTTATTCAACAAAACATATGTGCTGGGAGGTTCCCAGCAGATAACCTCAGTGATGCTTTCACACTCAAACACTCAGCCCTATAACATTTACATTAGGTGGCCGGTGATTGTGCTGCGTGCGTGATGGCTCTTTGGATTTATTACAGTGTAGGAGGATGTCCTCTGTGCTCAGCTTCTCCAAGTATATCACTCTTGTGACAACTGAGCTTCTGCATGAGCTCAAACTGAATCATTCGTAACGTTTATAAATGTTCTCTGGCTGCATTCTTAAAAGTGTCATATAAACAAATGACAATTTATTCCTATTTTTATTATATGGGCAATAGTTTTGGATTAATGTGTGCAGCAGTATTGCTTTTGTGTTATTTATTCCATCATCATTCATACATTAGCCTGCAGAACCTTCTGTTTACTACAAAATAATCATTCATAAAGAGACAGACTCATTATTTGAGCTTTAAATATGTCTCTATTCTGTATGAAAACGTAGAAGGCAGAAGGATTCAGGTGCCTGTCTTTACTGTAGTCCGTGGGAGTGAGGAAATTACATTACTGGTTAGCTCAAACTTGTTGAGCAGTTCAGAGAGCCAAAGGGTTTGGTCACTTACCAGCAGCTGTTAAACGTGACTTGCCTTGCCTGCATGTGTTTCCACGCTGAGGTTAAACAACCTATTCGGTAAATCTCTGGTGGAGAAAATCACAAACACGTCTATTACCTCACCTGCATTTATGGACTGTAACAAACTGAAGAGGAATGATTAGTTAAAGCTGTGCACATCAAGCCAAACCATCAATAAATAACAGCCGATCGGCAGTGCCAGCAGTTTAAAAAGGAAACCGTGAGCTTCCTCAAACAAGAGCTTGTGCGTGATGTAATGCTTTCAAAGCGTTCTCAGGCATAACTGGAAAAATAGTTTAACCATCACTGAGGTAGCCTGGTATGAAAATGTGATGACCCATTACACCATCACTGGGCACCGACTCAAAGTTACTGCACAGTCAGTAACCGGAAAAAGTTAAAGTTAGTGAATTATTACTGTAATTTTGCATTTCTGGCCAACTGGCAAGAGATCTGCACCTCAAAAATCCCACAATTACATAGATGCACGCTAATAGTCTGAATGTCAGCGGTATGCATGTGCACACATCTATTTCTGTCTTGCATGTGGTTGCATCACTCTTCGTGTTCTACTGAAAACACAGGAAAAAAAGAAAACTAATGTCAGATTCTGTAAACAACAAGACACAACAATCTTTCATATGTGTTGGTCTGACAAGTAATTTAAAGACAAGTTGCACCCTCAAGCTGTCGCTGTTTACAAAATTTATTCCACTCATGAATGAATAATGAAAATTGCAACTTGTTTTCTTTTGAAGCCCGTCTCTGAAGAGCTTTTGATGGTTCTTAAAACGTGTCGGGCAGACGTTGGAAGCAATTTGCATTGAATTTGATGTGTCTGAAAGTGACTTTTTGAGCACTTATTAGCTTTTATGTATGCAACAACAACCTTGGTTATGTTTGCAACAGTTCTAGGAGACCTTTAAATAGCTAAACATAAAGAGGACTCATATTCATGTACTGACCAACACTGCCACTCTGTGGCCACACAACGCTTTTAAACTACTTGTTGATGCAACGCCAGATCCACAGGCAACAACCACATCACAGTATTCCCCACAAAAGCAATTACTTATCATTTCAGAATAGCAATTGAACAATTATTTTTAAAAGAGCCATATCTTAGTGTAGCATTTGACACTTTAGAGTTTGTTAAAGTGGTAGAAACTTCACACACTTCCTCGCACTGCAGGAGAGACAAACTGAACTGTGGAAAATAAAGCAAAGAAAACGCTGGAAGGATTCAGGTGTTTGTAATAATGGTGCAGATTAGCTACACATATTCCATCTTCCTCCTGCTTCTTGCCAACTGTACAAACTACACTCAATAAGTTAAACAGAATTTAGCAAAAACTACTTACTCCTCTCAAAGTTTTACAAATAAAACCAAAGACATGTTAAAGCAGGGGTGTCGAATTCTGGTCCTCGAGGGCCGCAATCCTGCAAGTTTTAGATGCTTCCCTTCTTCCAACACACCTGATTCAAATGATCAGGATCGTTATCAGGCTTCTGCAGAGCTTGATGACGAGCTGATCATTTGAATCAGGTGTGTTGGAAGAAGGAAACACCTAAAACTTGCAGGATTGCGGCCCTCGATGACCGGAGTTCGAGACCCCTGTGTTAAAGAATGGTATCTTTGGATGATAACGTGACACACTGTGTGGTTTCCGTTTGTCAACAATCCAGTATTTTAGCTGAGAATTACACCCAGACATACAATAACTAACTTGGAATGACAAACATTTCATAGCAAAAGTAGATCTTTAAAGGCTGTAGTTAGACTATGACTGATATTTAGTTAATGATAAGTGTTAACTGCTTAAACGACTGCAGTACTATCCTAATTGATTCCAATTGTGATCCTATACAGGTGTGTTTTACCAGAGCAACCACCTGTCCTTTAACCACAAGTAGTTCTGACCAACCAGAAAATGTTTCACTGATTTTGTAGCAGAGATTTTAGTCAGTCACAATCTGATTGCGCACATTGCATTTGGGTATTTTTATAAGTGTGTCTGATTTAGGTTTGACTGGAGTGTAATAAGGTTTAGGCCAGGGGTGTCAAACTCTGGTCCTCGAGGGCCGCAATCCTGCATGTTTTAGATGTTCCCCTCTTCCAACACACCTGATTCAAATGATCAGCTCATCATCAAGCTCTGTAGAAGCCTGATAACGATCCTGATCATTTGAATCAGGTGTGTTGGAAGAGGGACACATCTAAAACTTGCAGGATTGCGGCCCTCGAGGACCAGGATTCGACACCCCTGGTTTAGGCTCAACAAAAAAAATTAACAACAGTTCGCATCAGTCTTTTTGAGTTGAGACAACTTCTAGTAAAACTATGTTCAGCCAATAAACTACATTGAGTTGGATGAATTGACCTCTCTTCTACAATCAAATGTATTTGTATTTACCCCCTACTTCAGGGGTGTCGACATCCGGTCCTCGAGGGCCGCAATCCTGCATGTTTTAGATGTTTCCTTCTTCCAACACACCTGATTCAAATGATCAGGATCATTATCAGACTTCTGCAGAGCTTGATGATGAGCTGATCATTTGAATCAGGTGTGTTGGAAGAGGGAAACATCTAAAACATGCAGGATTGTGGCCCTCGAGGACCGGGGTTCGACACCCCTGCCCTACTTACTAAATGAGCTGTCAGCATAAACACGTTTTTAAGTTAGTTACTCTTAAAGCAGTAGTTATTTAGAGAGAATTTGTGTCATTTAATCAATTATCATACTTACAAATGTAAGCTTTTAATCTGACAACCATCTTCAAAAATAAGTTGCTCCAATTAAATCCTCACTCCTTTAGCTCTTCCCCTCAACTTCAATTGAGTCAGAGGCTTTTTTTTTTAGGCTTTTAATTTGAAAATGTTTACTAAATCCATATATTTTATGTTTTTTTCTTGCAACCAAGCGTGTTATTCAGTTTGCATAGGTTCCCTGAATTACTTTTTAGAGCTTAAGTGCCTGAAATTGTTTGGGCGTGTTTAGATAGTGGAGGAGACTTGATGTCCTGAAATCCAAGTGAAGAAAAATTTAATTATCATGCCAGTTTAATTAAGTTACCTCAACTTCAATTAGGCTTTTAGGTCAACTAATTCAGAAATTTGAGTTTAAATTAAGTTAAGTTGATGTAATTACCGACATTATTATGTCCACCAAACCCATCAAAATAATGTTTGCAGCTTGAATAGTTCATATCAGTAGATTAGATTATATATATGTTGCAACCATGCATTAATTAAGTTGTGGATAATATGTTCCTAGAATAACTTCTGAGGGTGCTCCTCTTTAAATAGTTGTGTCCGATCTATTTCCACGCTACTTCTTTAAAACCAGCGCAGTGCTTTTGTGATGAAAGGCACGCCGCCTTACTGCCGCTCTCGTTGACGCTCTCTCGGCCGGTTTGACGCAGAAGTCGCCGCTCCAGCTGTTCCACCGCTGTCCGCCCCTGCTGCTCCCCCGCCGCTCGCCGCCGCCGCTTGCCCTCATTTCTGATGCAGCAGCGACCATGACAGGTATCGCCGCTGCTTCCTTCTTCTCCAACGCCTGCAGGTTCGGCGGTTGCGGGCTTCACTTCGACTCCCTGTCCGAGCTCATCGTGCACATCGAGGACAACCACATCGGTAAGAGCCGACGAGCGAGCGGCGCCGCAGCCCGCGATGGCCGAGCTTTGCAGCAGCTAGCCGTGCGTGGCTAAGTTAGCCGAGCTAGCAAGTTACTTCCTGCGTCCTGACAACCCTGTTGCTAGGTGTGGTGGCCGTCGGTGTTTCTGTACTTTCATATGTGTGACAGCGTTCCAGCAGCTGCACCGGAAACACACCGACACGCTGTTTGGTTTGTGTTTGCGCTCCGTTCGGTCGTTCGAACAACATTATTGAGGTTTTCTTTTTTTTTTGCTGCTCGAGGCCCCCCCCCCCCGCGTGTCGTGCTGCAAGCGTCGCGAGTCAGGTTGCAGCGTGCACGAGCCGCGTGAAGCTCCACTGATTGATTATCAGCTGGTTTCAATCAGTCGATCAGCGTGACGACACAGATCAGTGATCGATCTGATACCTGCAGGAGGTCCTGACGCACGTGTCTTACTTAAAAGTTTCTCACGTGCTGTTTCTATTTTTAAAGGGCTGCAACTACTGATTAGTTTCTTGATTAATCGATTATTTATTTGGACTATAAAAGGCCATTTTTAAACAAGCTGCATAAATTAGTTTGTAAAATCCAAGTTGCTCCTAAAGTTGTTGTTTTTTTTTTTATATTCAGCAGTTTGTCACTTATTGTTTTACCAGCAGATGTGATGTTTTCCCCAAACTACTATGAATTTAAGGAAAATAGTTTGTCAGTGCAGGTTTGAAAAGCAAGAACCTGCAATTTAAACATGCACATTTCAAGATGTTAATTCCTTATTCCCTATGCTGTTGAATCTCTTTTCACTGCTGATTATTTTCTCCATTAATCAATTAGTTGTTTGAATGATACAAGGTCAAAAAATTGTGGAAAACTTAGTGTCTCTCAAAGTTCAACATGACAAACGTCTTGCTTTGTCCACAACCCTCTTGAATCTAATTTGATCAAATGTAAATATTATCCAAATACTACTCGTGTTTTTATGCCTCTTTTTGTCAAGAAGTTACTTAAACCAATCTCTCACTTAGTTGACAAGTAATATTTAATAATTGCTAACTAATTATTATTTTCATTCATCTCAGTGACCTGTCTTTGTGCACATGTATTGTTTCACATTTCAGTTTTGAGACTTTTGGTTCTGTCAGGGTAGTTTTGTTCGATTTTTTTTTTTTTTAAATAAGAGATCAACCACATATTGGCCTTGCTGACTATGTGACCCAATATTCAGAATTGTTCCTATTATTGCTATTTTTAAAACTAATTCCTGATAAATTCATTTAAAAGCATGCTCCAAAATATTCCTCCTCTCTCTACCTGTTGTCACTCCTGTGGTCTTGAGCAACGTCCCGCCCACAGCTCCACCTGATTGGCTACATGCACAAGTAATAGCCAATCAACACTGAAGGATAAATTTAGAAAAGTTCTCTTTTAATCACATATGTAAGACATAAATAGACAAAGGCATTTCAACAAAGTTGTGTGTTTGTAAAGTTTTTCACCAGGATTTAACTTTTTTACTGCAGATGCATATCTTTTTCTTTTTCATTTTTAATCACTATTTGGTTTCCTTGATAACTAATATTTGTAATTGGCCGTGCTAAAACCATAGTTGTGACCCCCATAAACAGTATGTGTGCATGTATATCTGCATGGAACTTTTGACTTTAGAATAATAGAGTGACTGATATTTAAACTCTAAGATTGGGACTGACTGTGTTAGATATCGACTGATGTGGTTTTTCTAGGTCCAGTACTGATATAAAATTTTCAAAAATTAGAGAAACACAAACTCCAACTCAAAACCTAGTTGATGTACCTTTATTTATTGACACTTTGCCTATATTTATTTGAAAGAAAACTTATCAAAAGCTATCAAGAGTATCAGTTACGGTGTTGATTGGCTATTACTCGAGAACTGTAACCAATCAGATAGTGCTGTAGGCGGGACATTACAGTTTTAACAAAAAAAAAAAAAGACCATTTAGATAATTAGAGAAATGTTGAAAATTAGATCCAGTAATCAGTCAGGCTTATTCTACTATGAACTCTACTCTGGATATATTTACCTCAAAGTTCTCTTGAAACTGTGTTAGAATGAGACAACATCACATATTTAATTATAATACAGTGCCATAGTAACACAAAAACAAAACTATTAACATGATACCATAAGACATGCCTGAAACTGATAGACCTGATTAGAAGCTACAATTGCACTAGACTTAAACGTGTACAGTTGTGTATACGTACATACATACATCCCTTTTGTCAGTTGAGAGCGGTAGAAAATTAAGTCTGAAGTTACTGTGTTCATTTGGTTAAAACCCTCCTGAAAACATATGATCTAATCTAACCTAATATCTAATCCAGATATAGTAGTAGAAATGCTACCAGTTCTTTTATTTTCGATCTCCACAGCAACAACAAAAGATATAATCTGTCACTTCTTTAAAAAGCAGCTGTCCTGGCTAAACTCTGGCTGAAACATATTGCTTCATTTTGGGAAGAGATTTCTGTCGACTGCTGCTTTCCATCACCATGAACAGACTTTGACTCAACTCTGTCTTATGATCAACACTAAGAAAAGTGCAAGCAGAAGTATTAACATTTATATTGTGATTACATCTTGTTGAAATCTTCTTGGTCTACAGTACACCTAAACCGTTTCACAGCATGCTCAATATTGCAGTCTGTGCACACTACCTTCTAACAGTCCATAGATGCTCCTGACAGCCCATTAAGTTATCACCTAAATTAGCAGCGCCTCCTGTAGTTCATGTGTGGCAAGACAACAACAAAAACTGGATGTGGACAGACACTGGGAAGTCAAACTATGAAAACATTTATTTAATTAATGTGGTAACCAAGTACAGTTCCCACTCAAGTACTATCAACATCACTTACTTCTATGTATGTTGGTGTTACATTTAAGTGATTAGAAATATTTTTACACAAGTTTAGTTATCTGAAAATTAGTTTAGATAGATAGTAGATGGAAGATTTCTATTGTCAGTTTCTCTATATATCCAGGACATACAGAGGAACCGATTCACATTTGTATTCATGCCATACATGTAAAAAAGGGATCAAAATGCAGTATAAATAAAAATTAAATATATATAAATCAACCTACGTACACGTGGCAGTAGTGCAATATAGCTGTACACCAATTTAAATACAGGCAAGACTCTTTTTATTAGCCTTTATAATTGTCCGATAATGATTATTAGTAATCAAAAAAGGCTGCTAGGCCAATGTTTGGAACCAATATATGCAATATTTAAAATAAAAGTCATGGTGTCACAATTTAGAAGAACACAAATTACATCACAAAACTTCATTGAAATGTCTGTTTATTGTCATTTTACGTATGTTTAATTAAAAGAATTAACATTTTTCCTTCAGTGTTTAAAGGTTAGAACTTGTGCTGTGTAATCAATCCAAAAAAAAAAAAACTATACTTGTATTTAGAAAATGCTGAATATTGGATCCAATAATCAGCTGGGACAATAGTCAGTTTCCTCTAATATACAGGTGAGAAATGAAAAAGTATTCCTCCTTTTTGAATACCACAGGAAACGGTTCGTAATATTTTTATTTACTTCATCGATACACGCGAGAACCATTTCTTTTTTATACGGTGTTCCTACCACATCTATCTATATATGTATTTAATAAAACTTCCTTTGGACACCACAAGTTAATACATTTTGATCTTAAACTTTATAGGATATATTACGAACATTACATTTTTACTAAGTGCTAAAGCATTTATATCTCCTACCCGAGTCTCGCTCAGAATGTGAATTCCACCCCTCACAGTTTAACACCGAGCTCCTTCCTACATCTGTTCCCCAATCTAATATTTCAGACTCTTATTATTGAAGCTGACAAGGTTCAGCTGTCTCGGTTGTTCTTGTTTGTTGCTTGACTGGCTTTAATATCCTCTGCTCTCTGATTGTGTGCTGTGCATGTGTCCGAGGTGTTAGCCTTTGGAGAGAAAAAAAAAAAACGCTTCCAAATGACTTATTGGGGAATAATGAAGCAATTAGTTGGCTCAAAGTGGAAAAACTTTGCTGCCCCCCTCCTTTGTCTGCTGGCCTGTGCTCACTCTGAGAAGTGCGAAATCTTGCGCGTTGTGCCAAGTGCCTGTGAAGCATAATTACAGAGAGAGTGCTTGATTTGGCATGTCTTCCTCCTCATCTGGTGGCCTGCTGCTAAAAAGCACATTCTCCTTTATAATTAGGCGCCTGGAAAACAAGCACGCATTCTTGTCCCTCAGTTCCTCAGCGGGCTCTGCTGGTGCGCTCCACGAACAAGAGGTGGCGCTGCTCAGCTGTCAGTTGAGATGGAGCCTGTATTTTTTTGAGATCCATGGCTGATATTAGAGGCCAAAACCCACTTCCTCACACGGTGTAATACCACCATCCCTCAGCATTCTGATCAAAGGGTTTAGCATCAGTGAATTAAAACATATGGAAAAGAATGAATTGTAATTTATTGAGTGAAATCATTTCAAATTTAAGGAATACTTCTTTTTTTTTTTTTTTTATAGTGTAATCCTTCCAAAATAGCACAGATAATGTACATATTTATAGCTTGAAAACTAGTTATACTTTTTCTAAAAACCTTAGAGTGGCACTCATAACAAAAATATCAACTAAAATGTAAATACAGAGTCATTTTTTGGCCACATCATGTCAAAAATCCTGCCCAAGCATTCGCCTCCATACACAAGTTTCACACATATCAAGTAGGGCTCGACAGATTATTGGCTTTTTTGATTATTGCTTATGATAATCACCATTTTTCTGTTTATCTGTGTCTTTTTTTTTTTTTTTACCCTAACTTAAGAATGTGCTACTTTGCCTGCGATGGCAGCCATCTTTGTCATTTCCATTCTGTAGTCTCAAGCAAGTATCTGATTGGTAGCACATATACTTTTTATACTTTAATACACTGTAATCTTTAAAAAACAGTAGATAATGTACAGATTTATAGCTCG